TTAATTCTTACTAAATTTTTAATACAAAATCTTTAAAATATTTTTTTTATAATCACCAAAGTATCTAAGAGCCCTGAAATAAATTTCATTCCGAATACTAAAATAGTCGTTGACATTAGTTTTATAGTTTTAAATATATTATCAGAGTTCATCGTCATGACAAAAATGAGCGCGCAGTCGATTTCTATTAATATCGACAGACTATTGTTTTTAATTATCTGCATCCAAATGGTTCACGCATACAAAATATTTCAAACTTTTCAAGTTTGAACAGAAGGAAAAAAAGTTGATCCAAGATTATGTTGAAGAAGTTTGGATATAAGGTGATCATTCTCACCCTTTGGAATTGAAAAAAATAAGAGTAGAACAGATGCTGAGCAGGTAGTAGTCTAGGAGTTGGGAGACGTGGGTGCGCATTTCCCACTGGTATTTTATATTCACCTCGAAGCCTGCATATTTAATCGTACAAACGGTGCAGCATCCACTTTCTCAAGAGTTCATCTCTTTTCTCATCTTTCAGTGTACATTGCGAAATCTACGGAAAAGCATCAAGACTATGTACCTATATAACCATAGAGCATGGAAATAAAAAAATATATATATTCTTTTATTTAATCTTATTTGCTGAGTTGTTCCATTAAGTGTAGATAGGATTGAGTAGACAATCACAATGGGAAAATTGTTATCAAAGAGTGAAAAAGATAAATTGAGAAAGAACATTAAAATGGGCAACGAGAAGAAAGAAAATTTTGCACGTTCTTAGACGTTATCGGGCACTCGGGACGTCGACGACTCCCGCACGACTTTTCGGCTGAAACGACAACGGATAAGAAAGTTTAGCTTGGTTTATGAAAGATGCAGAGCTCGAGTTATCACCTCGGTGAATTTTTCATCGACGCGCAACGCCTTTCGCGTACATTTGTGCGGCACACCAACAGTGCAAGGATGCTCTATTCTCACCCACTGTGTACCTACATACATATCCTTTATCCTTTTTCACTATAGTCGTTCCTCACTACGTCGAAGTTGCAGTAAGTCTAAGCTCTGCTTGGTGCTTTAGTGTGAGTTGCGGTAAGAAAAGTTTATGGATAAGTTTGTCGAGTCGATGGATACCACTGTGAAAGTCAAACGGACATGTGGGATGTTTGTAAAATCAATGGACAATCTAGTTGAGTATGTGTGGATTCGGACCAATGAAATTCAGACTTTTTGAGATTAACTGAAGCAGACTTTATTGTTAATGGAGAAATACACACATTCAGGGATGTAGCAACCTTTTGATGGTTTTCTGAGGAAAGAAAGCTCTTTATGTTAGTCAAAAAAATTTAACATGACTTTTTGTTAATTTTTTTTCTCAGAATTGTAGCATGAAAAATGAAGAAAAGCGATGAAAGAGAATCTCGTGATCTTTCATTTATTTAAATAGCGTTTGTTAATTCAAGAGAAAGAACGATTCAATCGGAATATGATTTTTCGTATTCTTTTATTATTGTTATTATTATTTTTTTAATCTGTTCTTTGTGAACTTTTTTATCAGGAGATCAGCTGCTACTATTCGTGGCAATAATATAATGGAGTTGTCATCTGTATTGGTTTTTAGAAATTGATGGGTGATTATTAATAATTACTTAACTTGCTTCAATGAATATTTGAATTATGTTGAAAATAGCTTAGCTTGGATTTTACATACTGCACAAAATCGTGGTCAGATAAGTAACTCCATTAACGGCTCAAGTTGATTTCGACCTACTTCAAGTGTAATTGCACCATAATTAGAGGAACTTTTGATAAATCTATTTTGGTAGATTCGACATTGTAAATTATGTATGTTCTTATATTAGTTATCTTCTAAATTTATAATACTTGTTATATAAATTTTGTAGTATTATTAATTAACCTGAACATTAATGACTTCATCCCAATTTTCTTCCGACCGGCACCGCACAAGAACGTATTGTTATCAAATACTCTTGATCTTTAAATTTTTATTTAGAATGAATGAATTTAAATATTCAATATTCGAAAAAATTCTGGAGAGGAAAAATATGATTTCATTAACAAATTTACTCACGAACACTTTGTTTTATCTGAAAGTTAATCAATCAATCAACATTAAATAAAAGTAAACTTCTGTAAAAAAAGCTTTAGTTAAACATAGATGGGGTTCTGAGTTCATAATTTTCAATAAAAGTGTTTAACAATAAATGAAATTAGTCATTTATTGGAATGAAAATGGACTAATCACTTTAATTGAACAACTATCTGTTGGAGGATCAAAAAAATTGGCCTGAGAATAATAATAAATCGTTGTAAGCAATCGAATTCGGAAGCGATGTTAGATGGGTACATGTCCGGTTAGTAAACGAAAAAGTACATCCGGTTTGTTGTGATATCAGCTAAGAGACGACGACGACGATCTATTGAGTATTGGGCAGAGCTAGTCGACGTAAAGATATATGTATATATACCACACCAAGTCAAGAGAGAAACAAGAAATTCCAAGGGGCGTAGACAGGATGAGTTATCCTCGTGTCTGGACTCGCCCACCCACGTTACTTGGTATCTTGCAGGACACTTTGGGCAATGAGGACGTCCTGGCTTGGACACGAGCGGAATTCTCAACGAGTACGCATCTGTCCTTGTCCTTGCCAAGCTTTCGTCTTTCGGGAAAAATAAACGGAAAAACAAAGGGAATAAGACTATCAGCAGCAACAAAATACGCAGAATCGACTACTTCTTTTTACGGATTTTTCTTCCAAGTGTAACAAGAGAGGAAGACATGTGAACATTGCTAACATACATTCACTTTTCTTTATTTGTATTGAATTCCCACAGGTCCACTGCTGACAATTTTCCTGTACTGCGCTGTATTCTCGCGCCTTTTCTCTTTGTTGTGCTCTCACGTTTCCGTTACATTTCCAGCGACGAACAACGAGTTAAATGACCCTCTATAAGAATAATCAAGACAGCATTTTAATGGGCTTTATTTTTGAAAACGAAACAAGTTATTGGATACAGTTATTATATAATCCGGCATTCAGGGTGCATCAAAGTAGTTGGAAAAACGAAGAGGTGGAGCGAGACTAAAGAATAAGCAAAGGGTTGACTATACTCTCCGAAAAGGGTGAAATAAAAAAACATGTCCATTGTTACTGTAGTTTGGTAGCTCGTTTCGCAGTAGGCGGCATTTGGTTGCCTGGACGACTGCACGCGCCGTAAATTTTTTTTCAAACTTGCAACCTATTCTCTTCAATTTGATTCTTCACATTGATTCATGCGTCTAGTTACCCTTAAGCCATTGTCTAAATAAATAACCCTCTGACAATTTTTAGCTTGTTATGTCAGCCATTTGATACTTAATTTGATGGTATACTAAGACGTACTTTTATAATAGTCTTTTAAATTTAGGCATGGAGCAAGGATTCGTCAAAAATAACCAATCACTTTTATGTGTTTCATCATGAAATGGCATTGAATCGTTACTTTCCTCAATGGTTCTTTGATATTATCTCAAAGAATACTTTCTACTTTAATTTGATTTTCTAATCTTTGATGTTTACGAATCTTTATTATTGAGTTTTCCATTTATTGCAAAGGAGGAATTTACTGCTCACTTTGAATGTTACCAATTGGTAAACAAATTATTGTCAGCCTTCTTTTACTTAAGAACAATATTTTATTCTACTTTAATAAGTTTTTTTCGTGCAAATATCGTTTTAGACTTGTGCAAATTGTAAACGAGTCATTTTATTATTTGAGAATATTGAAATTAAACATAAAATTATTGAGACGAAAATTAGATAATTAATAGAAAAAGAAAACTTTGTTTCTTGCAACGTATTATTATGAGCTATGAGTAATATTACAATAAATTTGGATATTTTAGCTCGAATACTATTTTTTACCGATATATTCTAGCTGATTATATAAATTGAATGTTTTTAAAAATATAAAGATCATTTTTATTGCAAGGGAGAAAAATTTAAATACCTTTTTTCATTTGATTTATGCATTCCGTAAGCTGGTAGAGTAATTTATTTAATCATACTTTAATCTACAGAAAAAATATTCTTCACTACTTATTTACAATAGATCAATTTTATGTGTAATTTTTAAAGCTTAATAACAATAAATAAAATATACTGATAGCAATTAAAATTAAATTTTTAAGAAATGAAAAATTTTGCTTCATAAAAATAACACTTAAAATTTTAATTTATAATTCTGAATTTTTTTTCCATAGAACTTAAAATGAATAATGTTTTACGGAGTCATTTATTTAGGAGTATTTTACGATTAAAAAAAACACAAAATTTCGATATTATAAGCATGTAATGTTTATTATTAATTACTCAGATTCTCGAAGTATTATTATAAATAATTTGATATTTATTATTATAATTAATATTCTTGTAAATTCACCGAGTATACTAAAAAATTTGTTAAACAGAATGCAAGATTCAGTTTCAGCGTACAATCACTCTAAATTACTGAGCAAAATAACGATAAATCATAAATGAGTTATATAAATAAGCCAATTAATAATTTTTGAGATAAAAATGATCAATAAATTGTTTTCGTTATTATTTACTATTATTTATTATTACTTAATAAATGTTGTTAAATCTTTCAAATCGCCCGTGGCGATTGTTGACATGCTAAATTAATAACATTTCGTTTCATAGACAAAGTTGTAGAAACGATTTAGCATGGGAACTATGTCGTGGGACAAACTTTATATCTATGTGTGCTTGCGGTTGGCTGAAGTTGACAGCGACTGCGTGCAGGTATAGTCTAATACTACTGTTTCAATGCCGAGCGTGTACTTTCAACTTTAATAGGAGTTATAGATATACTATTTTTCCTGCCACTTTAATGTAATTGTCTTTCAGCAGTCAGAAAATCAAACAAACTTTAGTTGTTTATTTTATTATCAACAATTATTTATTGAGATAAATATTTGACTACTCAAACTTTTTTGACTCTTTAATGAAACTTACCTCTTTTTTTTGATTGACAATTTGAAATTAAATGACACTTAGCGGTGATTTAATTCTGACGTTCAGATCAATCGATGATAAAGAAGTTGTAATCAACAATTATGGGTGCTTGAATTAATTATCACTTACACTACACGTGCTATACGATGTTTATGCAAATATGTTAAATGTCAAATACACCTCACTAAAGAAGTATTTGAAAAGAACAACAATCATTAATTCTACAAAAATATTTTGTAAGTTGATGATTATATTTCAAATATACGCGAAATAACTAAAGTGGCACAGTTTTCGTCCACGGTGGCATATTTTTTATCACTAAAATCAAATGGGCAAGATAAGTCAAGACTGGACCTCAGTCTCTATCACCCCCACATATCGGTCATTCAGCTAAATTCGATCGTTTTGATCACATCAAGCTAAATTGAAGGCAAGATGTTATCAAACGTTGGAAAATTGAGAAGCAAAAATGTTGATCGGAATTCAGAAGCGAGAAGTCAATTCGTGAAAGAAAAACGAATCTCTTGAGATTTAGTCGCGTGGTATCGATTGGCCGTCGGACAGTAACTTTTTTTTTCTTCAACTAAAATTCAAGTTTTCTTGATCAATTTTACAACAATGACTTCCTCCATCAAAAAACAACATTAGCACAATTATTATCTCCAAAGTGTTCAAAGGTGTAGCACTGAATGTATAATTGTCGTTCAATATAATAAATAAAAATAATAAATAAAATGACCAGACAGCTGACAGTTCAGCACGAGTTTACAGACGAAGTAAATAGACTTCAACAAACGGAACGCACTAAAACGTACATCTCACTTGGACGTCCGGGTTGGACTGAGGCGCTCGTTGGCTCTGAAGTCGTTGTTCGGGACGCCGCACACGCTCGAAAGTGCCGAGGTACCAGCACCCCCCACCCGGAGGAGCCACGCTTCGGGGTTTCTCTCCCTTCGTCTCAACCCTACTGCTCCCATCCGATTGCTCTCCGTCTGTACGTGCAGTCAACGTCGGCGCGGCTAGCAAAGAGCATAGACTTTTTAGGATAGAAAAGCGACTCTTCTTTCTTTACTGAACTCTCTTTTCGTCTACATCTATGATTTTTTTTTCAACTTATTTCAAGCATTTTGATTAGATGCATTCGAAAAAATTTCTTATGACGATCTCTACTGATTAAAGCATCTGTCTTCATCGTACATGATATACTATTGTGTTTCAACTTTTTAATAGCGATAAGCGAGAAATTATACAAGAAATATAAACAGGATGTTAAGTTTTGTGCTCGTATATATATTTTCAAAAAAAAGTTGGCTTGAATCTTTTGTCAACAGCCAAAAGTTTTATCAACTGATAAGGTGGCTGATAGAATAGAGTACAGGAAAACAAACCTGGAGCAAAAAGCACGAGAGAAGCTTTCACGTGTCATTCAGAAAGATTGAAAACATCGAATTACTTCTCGAAAAGCCACGAATAACTCGTAATTTCCACTAGACTATTCGGTATTTGGTCCTTCTAAAAAATGGTAATCCGATCGTTTGCACGGTCTACGAAAGCTCTTGAACTGCCAAAGTTACAGTGTTATTTCGTTTTCCCTGGTTTTGGGGCCAGTATACCCTCTAGCGAAATTCAACTATCCTCGTTCTTCTCTTTTCTCTATCCCATTCTCTGTTGATGGCTGTGCTGGATTTTGAAAAGCCTCTTTATGCGTTCTCTACAAATAATTTCGGCAAGAAAATAAAAGACGTGCCCTAGAGCACCTCGTTGTCTTTCTCCTCTCGATATATACACTCTTCCATCAGCACCCATTCTCCTCTTCACCTTTATACATACGTCTATATATATAGCTGTTATATGCGCGTTGGATTTCAATATAGATGAATGCTCAAAGCCGCTGGTAGTACTGGTTTCTATTCGTGTATGGATGTGAGACTTGTTGGTGTCAAGAAAGCGAGACTTGCAAGTGGAGAAGAGCTTGGCGAAGGGTCTTGGAACAATCGCGTGCAGAATGCCAAATTTTGGTAAATCTCAAGTTCCCTAAGAAACTCGGTAGAGAAACGACGTTTTGTTCTACGTGTCTTCTATTCTTTTTACTTGATTTCTTCAGCTGCCTTCAAATACTAGATATGTGATCGAACGTCGAAAGATTTGTTTCGCGGATACGCCACAGTCCGACAAAGCTGTGGGTGTAACGGCAAACAGGAGCATTGGTACACGCTGCACGTAGTAAGGTGTTCACGCAAACGGTAAATGTACAAGAGTCACTGAGAAACATTCGTGACTTATTCTATACCTAAAAGTCTTGATGCTTGTCTTGTTCTAGTGTACCGCAAAATCATCAGATATCAGATCGGAAATGTCGTCTCTGGAGGATGTATTATAGCATCCTGTGTCCAATTTTCTTTCTTTTCCCAAGCCATACACAACTTTTGATAGATAAATAATATCATTTCCTTCAGTATTATTTCCGTGGCCAACTGGAAAATTTATTTTGTTTGGCTTTCTGTCATTGGCTTATGCCTGCACAAGACTGATGTGCAACTTTAGATTTTCTCGTGTCGTGAGTCACATCTTGGAGCGCATGGACACCATATTCTGTATTTATAGGCAAAATAAATTTGCAACTGGCGCCGTCGTAAAGTCTTTGAGGCATCACCGTTTCGGTATGGTTCATGAGTACGCTTGGTACTCGTGCAGATGGAAGAAGACGAAAGAGAGAAGAGCATCGTCCGTAAAATAGCATCACGCTCAATGACTCGTGGTCTGTGACAAAAAACCAAGACGATGGCTTTTGGCCGGACTGATCCGCTGGAAAAGTGTCAAAGCTGACGAATCTGACGAGGTGTCTAGTTATATTATATAAGTTGAAGGGGAGAGTTTGCAAGCTCGGTGCTTACTGAAACTCCACCACATTCCCTCACCTTCCAGACGACGACTCGATAACTTTCCCTCCAGTAAACTCTGACGTAGGGCCAATTGGGAATTAGTCTCTCGTTAGGCAAGTTTACCGACATGTTCACGCTGTCTGCCTTTGTGCTGAAACCAGTCAGCCTACTATTATGTCTCAGAAGAAAGCTAAGTGTTCTCATGTTTATAGCATACTTATGATTCCAATGCAACATCATTTTCGTTCCATTTATATGAAAATAAATTTATAAACTTAAACTTGGGATATTGGAAATCGTAATTGACTTAAAAGTATGGACGATAGTAATAAGCTTTAAATTTCTTACAAACTGAGTAAAATTCTTTTAAAAAGTTTTTAATGAGTTTGAATAAATCTAGTAAAATCTGTTAAATCTAATAAAAAATACTGTTCCAATTTTTTTTTTCAATATTAACATTTCTAAGTATATTATCCACATTATAAGATTCATAAATATGCATTTGAATATTTTATTTTAATATAAATAATTAACTTCCTTTTTCAGTACTTTATTAAGCAAATATTTTTCGAGTGTTTCTGTTCATACCAGATATATCAGACGTGTACACAACACCGGAAAAAATACTGAACATTAAATAATTTAACTTTTTATTAAGACATAGTTTTTGTTTATTTTATCAAACTTCATGGTAAAGATTATTTTTAATTAATTAATGGTAAAAAGCCTTCGGCTTTGTTTGAAAACCTTTTTACTCTGATATCATCGTTATGACGTGTGAATCTGTGACATGCCTGCGAGTGTGACGTTGAATAATTGTTGAGCATGTGAAATAACCAGAAATTTTTCATTTAAATTTAAAAGACCACCTCCCATTTTTTTACACAAATACTCACAATTGTATACCCGTTGTTTTTACATTCGCAAGCGAGATGATAAAAAAAACTGAAACAAACACAATATGTACAAACACCATTTCATATATATTTTTTTCTTTTCGTTTATCTTTTATCATCGAAATAGCCCAGCGAGATTATACTTCTGCAATTCTCATAGAAAGTTTTTTCTACCTCTGAACGAGGGACCAAATTGCCGACTCCGAAAATATGTTGTGCACTAAACTTGGGTTTTCTTAGACGTCGTTAGCACCTGCTCTTTTCCGTCACGTCTGTCTTCAAGGTTCACTACGACCTCTTTTCCAGCCTCAACCACTGTATTCCTCATCAGCTACTAAATTCTTCTAATGCTTGATCCCCACGGTCTACATACAAACCTTACTATAAAAGTAGCATTAAAATATACGGTAATTACTTGGTAATGTGTGCTTTCTCTTCTTGATTTGTTAACATTGATCATGAAAATATTGGGTGTCTATTTGTCTTTCATTTTACTTCAAATAAATGAGACAATTAATACTCGATAAATATTTCATCAATAAACATAATCAAATTCTCATCAATCAAAAAATAATTCATTGGAAAAATATTCAATTTGGACTAAAATTAAATTTTTTTCAACGAATGATGATATTTTAAATTTATTATACTAAAAAAGTTTGCGGTCAATTCCCTCAGATTTCTTGAATGTTGATGAATTTAAATAATATATTATATGGAATAAAATTTTCTTTAACTTAGTTTAGAAGGCTTTCTTTACTTTAGCTTCACAATTAATATTTTTAAGAGAATCGTAAAGTCAAAGTACATTAGCTCTGGAGAATGAAACATTTTGAAGGTCTGGGACAAAGTTACCCTAAAGGGCTAAAGTATCCTAAACTTACGATAACCGTGTTCAGAATAAGAATTAATTAATTCTTAAACTTGGGTTCATTTAAATAGTCGCTTGAAGTTTCTTTTATAAAATTCAAAATACTCCAGACCTTCTAGCATAATTATTATAAATAATTTCATCCTTCAATTATCATAATAATAACAATAATTTTCTGCATAATTCCTAAATAATGAAAATCAACATAATAAACACAAGAGAAATCAACATTACAATTAAACACCAAGTAACATGCACTTGTCTGCATAAAATATCATCCAGATTATTATTTAGTTGATTGTAAAATCTCATTCAAAGGTTTTTTAAAGTAGTACTCTATAGTTCTCTATAGAAGCAAAAAAACAACATTCCTTGAAACACCTAAGAGCGATGTGGGCTAATTAATAAGCTCTAGAGACATCAATTTTACAATCAAGTACGACACTCATGTGACATAAAAAATATAAATATTTCTTTAATGAAATTACACGTGATGTAACAACACCCTATATTTTACAATAGATCTTCTCACGTGTGGGAAAATGAAATTTGAAGTCATTCTCAAGGGAACGCAAGTGAACCTTTATATTCTTGTTGACGTTGCAGGGGATGAGAAATGCTCACGCAATTAAATAGAGTTGAGTCGCCAATCTGCACTCTCTCGTTCCAAAGGCACTCAACGATTACGAACGCTCTTCGCAAAACATCCCTTGATTCACAAACTTGCTCTTCTCCAACACTAATACCATGTTGCTCATCCCTTTTACTCTGGTGGCTGACTACTCCCCTGATCAAGTGCAACGAGTCCACGTGCCGTATCTTTCAATGCGCTCTCTTGTCTCTTCTTTACATCATTCGAACGTGGCATTGTTGTTACCAGACAGAGTGATACCAGTAAAAGTGCTTCTCGAGTACTTGCCTCTGGCACTGCTTCGTAGGTTCATTAGTGAAGCTCGAGTATCGCACATTGAGCATCCTAGCGTTGAAACAATTGCATATTTGATGCTATTCGTTTATTCTTTTCACCACTGAATAAAACAGTTCAAATGTAAGAAAAAAATGTATTAATTAATTTATTTATTTATTTGATTATATCTAATTATTATCATGTTTCAAAGTCAACAAAATGTCCATTTGTCAAGGTAAAAAAATACTGTCAAAGATATTATAACAATTTTTAATCTCTACGTGGTTTA